ATAAAGAAATATATTTCTGAGAAGCAGATAGAGACTGCTGATTTTGAAAGAAGCTCATAGATTAGGCAAAGTGTGTTTCAAACATTGAAGAGGGTGGGAAAAGTTTTACTTTAAGATGAAGATCTAGTGAAAGAGCAAGATGTAAGCTGTTAGGACTGTTAAAACAATCAGGCTTGCCATGACCCACATTCTTTTGAAGGGAAGACCTCTCCAAGTTTTCCCTATTGCTTTTGTTCTTTGTGTCAGATGGTTTATTATTCATTAGAGTGGAAGTCCTGCTGTGCTTTATCCACCTGTTCAACACATTAGATATGTGAGAAGTTTACTAGAAGCTCTCACAGAGAGAATTTTTATAAAATATGCATGGATATAGAGTACACATGAACATATAAAGAAGTAATTGCATTCATAAAAATACAGTTAATTTAATACAGAATACTAATAACAAGAGAAAATACATGATGTGAAAATAGTAAATAATTCTAAGTATTGGATCTTCCTTCACAAACACTTAAACCCACAAGCCGTACTACTAGTCATTTTTATCATGTTCGTTATTTATTTAGCGGTTTTACTCTTCAAAATATTTCAGTTATGTTTAGGGAAAAGAAACAAACCCACGAGACTTATGTAGTCAAATTGCACAACACAAACGGTGAACAGGAAATATTGTAAATAAACAGATGACATTCTGTTATGAAAAATCATGAACACCAGAACCTATGTTCTGATGTTTCTGTGGTAGGTTCAGGTGGCGTAAGCATTATACCTCAAGTATGATTAGTCTTTCAATTCCATGGAAGCCTTTAGATCATATTATTTTTGTCGTCATGCCTGAAAGGTGCTCTAAACTGTGAAGTTTAGGGAAGAAATGTGCCTAATCTGTCAAGGAGTCTGTAAATCAGTGCTGGTCCTGGATGTGCTGGGCAGCAGAACCACAAGATCCCATTATCATTAATAGCAGGTGGCTGGAATTCTCTTAATCACACACAGAGTCTTCAGCAGGTAAATGTGGACATGCAGCAAAACGGAGAGCCCTACCATGTCTGTGGGTCCCATTCAGCTGCAGCAACCTCACACCAGGCACAGTGGGGATGGGTAGCTCAGGCATGGCTTGGTCCTGGCCACCTCCAGTGAGCGCCTCCTCCAGAGCTGGTTTGCATTTAGCTGCCTCAGAGCATCAGTATAACAAAGTGGTGTTCACCTGACAGAGGCTATGGCAATACCACCCCAGTAAACTGGACACAGAAATTGTCAAGGAAGCTGCCAATACTGTAGTCTGCTCAGAATGAGAGGAAAGTTGGATTAAACTCACTTTCCCAAAACACCAGTGACATGAATGCCCTAGAGAGGAAGATCTGACAGGACCGTGCCACAGCGCTGTGACAGCTCTCATTCACAATAAACTCAGCTTCAGCATACTGTAGCTTAATTCTCCATGGGAAGATTAATCCCTTGGAGAAGGATTAAGCTGCAGTGAACTAGGGCCACTTTATTTCTGAATGGGAAAGGCCACACAGGGATTTAATGTACTTTATCTTATGTGCATTGATTTCACAGCTTTAGTTAATTCATCTTAACTTCCCCGAATTCCCTTGTGTGGACAAGCTTTTTGTCTGCAGAGAGGCTCTTGGAGCTGCTTGTAAAGCTCCTCATGCAGCCACACCAGAAAGCAGGTTGGAATAATTTCTGTGTTCTGAATGAGCTTATACCTGTCTAGATATTATTAAATTACCTCTTCCTCAGCTGGTTGATCTGTGACATCCCAAGAAGAACTGTTTTAATTAGATTTTTTTAATGGATCAGTGAAAAAGGAGTTTTCTTAAAACTAATCTCTGGATTATTGTAGAAATCTCTCATGAAGAGTCTTTTCAAGGCTTTCAGATAGCTTTAATTGTGTAAAGCTGCACAAACAATATTTTCTCAGGCATGGGCATGTCTGGGCAGTGCAGTTGAATAGGTTTACTTGCCCAGTGGGATTTTCTTCTTCTTTGATGGTGGTTATAAGAAAACATTTTGTCTATATTGATAACAAATGAGTGGAGTTTCTATTTCCTCATCCTAAAGATTCTAATCCCTTCCTCTTGGTGACACAAGTGACACAATTCCAGGTCTAGGAGGATGTTTTTGTGAGTGCAGCTGTTAAAAAAATGGCTTGGTTGGGGTGGTGTTGTCCTTTGGGAAGATGAGTCTGTGCATTATTTGCATAGTTATTGTGAAGTACTGATAGGCCCTTCTGATAAGATGTTTCCTGATGTCAGTGAATCATAAACCAGTTTTACTGTTCAGCTACATCATGAGAATTCACATATAAATTTAAACTTTTTCCGAACAGTTCTTCACTGGGACACTTTATGCAACACAAAAAGACATCTCTTGTGGATTCCATAGAAGTGTTACTGTGGCTGAATTCTGTAGCAGTCAATAAATATTTTGTCTGTTTAGTAAGTATACGAGGTGCACAGAGGGCCCACATGCATGTGGGAAAACTCATGTGAGAACAGAGGTATTGAACAAAGAAAAAAATGTAAATAATAGCTGAATGTCAAGGTACAGGTGTTTTCCACCAGTATTACTTAATAGTAGTATTCATCAATACTAACCCCAGTGGGACTGGGGAAATATTTTAAAATATAAAATATCTATTTATATATAAAGTATATGCTATGCAACATGATCAAAAGGGAGGAAATCTCTTTAATATAGCTATTTCTGACTATTTGCACTGAAATTTACAAATGCAGGAAATGAAACCAAATATTTTAGCATTTGGCTGTATTTCTACATTGTTGTACTGAAAGCCTGATAAGTGTTCAGTGTGTTCTGATGATTGTTTTTCCTCTTCCTTCATACAGCTGATTGGATTTGTGTATGCCTGTTACGTGATCAGTATTTTCATGGAGGAGGAGGACAGCTGTAAGTACTGATACACACCTCTCCATATCTGGAGCCACAGTACCTGGGGTGAGACTTAGTCTTGTGTTGACTACCAAGGCAAAGAACAAAGTTCGAAAAATGGCAGAAACTGTCGTTCATGTACACAACCAGTCGTGCTCAAAGACATACTTATTTAGGTACTGCTCTCTTATCTAGGTAGGACTGCACTTGCTAAACTTCCTCATAGAGATTTGTGAACCTGTTGCATGAGCCAGTCACAGTGATGAAAATTATGTGATCCACATTGCATGCATATACATATATATATATGTCTTTATGTATGTATGCTTAAATGTGAATCAAATCTCCCAAAGCCGTTTAGCCTGTTCTTCAAATGACAGCTTATCAGTAAAGTTAATGGAGATGACAGATCAAGCCACTTACAGTGTGTGATATCGCTCTGATCAATAATTAGGTAAACCTGATCAACACCTACAGGTAGCTAGACCATGCATTTAAAATGCTAAGCCCGTGTTCTTAACTTGACTTTATCAATAAAACTTTTATATACATACTCATATTGTTCCATAACTTTGAAAATGTGCACACCTTTAAAAAAGTATTTCTCAAAACACCATTAAATAGGTATTGAAAAAATCTGAATATGCTGAACCTTTTGCTAGGATGTTGTGTGAATAGAGATTGTGAGAATTGCCTAACAATGTCACCATACACACATAACTAGCATAGCCTTTGTTAAAAGCAGTAGTGAGAATGGGAAAATGTTGGATGAGCAAAGAGGAGCAAGCACAAGAACAAACCTAGAAAACAAGCAACATGATCATGAAAGTTGTTTCCTCTCATTTATGGGGAGTTAAACGGTAAGCCCTCTAGGGGAATTAAAAAGAACAAATGTCAATAGCGTTTCAGGGCTATAGGATAAATAATACACAACCAAATATTTATTAATAACCTTTTATTCATAAATCTTTACATAGTTGCTTTGTTTCTTCACAGAATAGCATTAGTGGGTGAAATTAATATAGTAGGAAAAATTAATTTAGTTTGTAGGAAAGCATTTGATAATATCTGGAAAGTCTTATTGAAGACATAATTCAAGTAATTCATGTCTGTGATAGAAAAGCAGACTGATTGAAAACAGTGTGAAGGACCGTAAACAAAACACTTTTCCATTGCTACAAATGGTACAACGTTCAGTTCTCCTTCATAGTGCAACTGACATTAGAGTCAAATTTTAACACTTTCATTTAGAGTTCAGTTAGGAAGAATCAAAGAGATTCTCAGATAAAATTGAGTGGGAAGGAGTCATAAGGATGTCGTGCACATAGTGTACTGTGAAGAGGTGCAAGGAGCCTGGATAAAGATGGCTGCTAGTAAAGGAGAAATATGAACACTTGGAGAAGCAACATAAAATGTAGGTCTTGAGGTGCAAAAACCTAGGAAATGATTCTTTGGAACGCTGGAAACTGACCGGCAGAAACTGGTAACACGGGGTATCGGCAGAAGATGGCACAGCAGCACAAGGGCTGTATAGTTGGGGATGTATAAACAGAGTCTTTGGTCAGTGAAATGCGGAGGCATCTCCTTTCCATAAGGCTGTGATGAGTCATGACAGCAGCTAGGGCTTCATATAGATAGCTGGAAACTTTGTTTGTGAGACAGTTACTAATTAAATTCCTGGAACAGGAAGGCTACCTTAAGCATTAGGGAAGGCCTGCAGACTGATGAAGACGGCACAAACTACAGTGCCTTTAAAAGGGAAATAGTGCACAAGTAAACCCACATGCAAACACAAATACATTTGTACTTGAGAAGGCAGGCTCTTTACTTTTTACACAAGTATGTTATGTTACTGTTGGTTTTGTTTATCCTTTTATAATGTGCTTCACACTCCCTGTTTTATGCATGTGTAAAAGAAAGACGCAACTCCCATCAAGTGATACGTGTTCAGGGAAAGTAGTCACATGCTGAAGAGCATTATGTGTTTTATATTCAGGGCCTCACAAGAGGGTTATTGTCAAATTAAGGGCCCTGTTCACTTCGAAAACCTATTTCAGAAGAGATGAGGCCCAATTCACTTTCCTCTGATGGTGTGCCCACATCACTGTCTTTTGAGAGTTTGAAGCCATATGATACCAACGGAAATTTAAATCACTGAGAATGGAGAACAGCTAACATATTTATCAACCAGTAAAACACATCAAGTGCTAAGGTGATCCAGTATGTAAAACTAACCCAGTTCCCATTCTCCACAAAGGACTCAGGGATCTGCATTTAATTTCCACTTATCTTTCAGAACTGTCGATGGTAATTTGGTTTTCTGTTGCAGGTGAAAATCATCCCACTTGTCTTGGAAAGTATGGTGTAATTCAGCTCAATGTCCTTTGTTAGGAAGGGGCAAATTTCCCATTTCATTTGTACCTTTACCTATAATCATCTAGACCCATGTGCGAATAGTTTTTTTAGTTAGCAGAGGGTGACCTGGGGCAGGGGCAAGAGCAGTGTGCAAAGGAAGGAAAAAGAGGAGCAAAGAAGTGGAATAGATACAGCTAAGAGATTTTACAACCATTGGAGAGAAGTAATTTCTGATTTGTTACTTTTTTTTATTGCCTTTTAAGATCCTGAATCCAGTCAAAAGCAAATAAGGAGCCCTTTAATATTTCACTTTGTTTCTTAGTGCCATTTGTGTTTTAGAGTCCTTTATGCTTATAGATAACCACATTAAAGACAAACGTTAACTCCTTCACAGCAATCCCACAGATACATTTTAAATAAATAAATGTCTGTTTAAGGCACAGTGAGAAAATGGTTTGGTTTAGTTATTAGCTGAGAAGAACACGACTTATTCTGGAAAAATTCACTTAGCATGATGAACAGAAAACTATTCGAGATGCCAGTACAGTGGTTCTTCAAAACAGCTTAAAAGTAGACAGTGTTTACATTAGGATAAAAGTCCAAGAAACTGCAACTAAAGAGCAATTTTATACATTTAAATATGAGGCAGCAGATTCTTTTCTTAGGTAGATGCAGCTATTCCATCATAATTTTGCAGTAGTTTTCACAGAATAAATTAGTCATCTGATAGTCAAAGCCTCCTTATTTAAATATACTCTGCAATATTCACTGCATCAAGTTAACCCCAGTTCCTGGTCTGAAACCCGTCATGCAGACTTAAAAATTAATAAAAGCTGCCTGCTTAGCCTCTGTGCAGTGCTTAAATGGATTTTGAGCCTGACATTTTGGCTGATGGACACTTTTCTGAACAGTAATAATGCTTGAGGAAACATTTATTTCCAGCTATTGCTCACCTTACCTACATTTCCCACTGTAGTTAACTTATACGCAGAAGGAAGATGATAGCAGGTCAAAAGGGATAAAACAAAATAGACATGTAAAAGGCACACTGCTGTAGTGGGGTTAATACCTTCCATCATTCATCCTAATGAAAAAGTCTATTTATATCTCTTCCCTTCATTTTTTCATTTATTTCTTTGTAGATCTATCAATCTCTATAAGCCCTTTTGAAGGAATAGAATATGTGAAATCTGTAATCATAAAAGCCTGTCACTATCCTGTTTGTGAATCATTTTCTCCTAAAAATGAACCCAGAAGCTTGTTTCCACCTTGTCAGAGTTACTAAATGGTCTTAATACAGCGGAGTCTGGAGACTAGGCAAAATGAATTGCTAAAATCATTATTAAATTTCTAAATAGTTTCTGGACTTTTCTGAGAAAAAGTTGATAGCACTATTACTGCTAAATACTAGTTCATAAATCTGACATTCACACATGTCAGAAGTGATAGTTCTATACTGTATGGGATTTTGTGAAGTGGCAACTGAGTTGTATACAAATTGCATAAGGAAATAACAGTGAAATTAGAGGGGAAGGTTTGCCACAAATCTATATTTTTGATTTCAGCATTTTTGTAAAAATGAGACTGAAACACTGAAACAAGGAAGCTTAAAATTCTTTTATGGATGAGCAAAAATAAAGGAAATTCACCATGAAGGAAAGATTTATCCCCTAAATAAAGCCACAAGAACAAAATTAATAAATCAAAAAAAAATTCTTTTTTGTCTGTTCTCTATGCTAGTTGTATTTAGAGCCCAGCTGTACTTTCAGAACAGAGAAAATGAATTTGTTTTTACAAAGTATGAGTTTTCCCCATTCTGTGGTATCAATATGACCCTCTGTATGCCATCATTAGACAAATATTAAGTAAAGCAAGATACATTACTGTTTTCACTGAAAAACCACTGTATTGCTTTATCTGACATATGGCTTTACATTTATACACACCATTGAGCATCTGTTGCCAGTAATCAAACAAGATAGAAAGACTTTTTCATCACATTTAAATTAATATTTATAATTACAGAGTAGGTCCAGCAGTAATAAATTTCTTATAACTATGCTATTTTTTTGCAAAGTGAATGAAGAACTAACAATAGCTGATATTATATATATTTGATTACCTTTTTATGTAAATATACAAATGTCCTTAACTAAGGAGTATTTGGGAACCTACTACTAATATCTTTACATCAATTGCAATTACGCGTTGTTGAGTCCATTAACCTTCTAAAAAAAATTTTTTGTGTTTAAATTATTAATATCAAGGATGACCAAGAAGGAGGATTCTTCACTACATTTCTGTTGGGCAATACAAGAATCAAACATCCCCAGACAATAACTGTCCAAATATCTCACTAAAATGAGGACTTAGAAAACCTGCCAAACAGCAGCCAGCAGACAGGTGGGCTTAAGTGCTCACCACTCTCACTTTTAGACCATAATGACTAGATATATTGAATTAAAATGTGTTGTTACTGACCAGTGGATGAATATACTTGACACAGACTTTTAAAATTATAATTTTTACTGCTTGGCAGTGAAAAGTACTCTAGCTGCCAGGTTGACAGCATTCTCTTGGCTTTGGCATTTCTGTAAAATGGCAGTGACTATCACTATTTTTGGAAGGCTTGAAAAACAGTTTGCATCTTTCTGTTCATCTGG